ATATTACATACAAAATATTTTATACAGTAAAATTACAATATAAGCAAAACGGACAAACTTACAAGCCATCATGTAATGGTAGACACTTATGAAAGAAATCTCCACCTTGATAAAATGTAATAAGTTTTATATTTATAGTTAATACATTTTCACTGAAAGAGAGATGGAAAGTGTGTGTGTGTGTGTGTGTGTGTGTGTGTGTGTGTGTGTGTGTGTGTGTGCGGCGTGTATAAGTGACTCAAATATGTTAAGTTAAAATTTGGCATAAGCATGCTGTGATTGAATTGTTGAAAAGCAAATGATGTTAACATTAATCTGTCAAATAAACGATTATCACAGCCCTTCTTTTGACTTTCTGACAATGATTTGTTTTGTATTTTTCATGATTAATTATTTTTCAATATTCCTTGTAGAAGAGTCTTTAAAAGGTTTTTAAATTTATAAACCTGACTTTGTATGTCCATATATGTGAGTGTGTGTTAGCTGCAGGTACATGTATGTGAAAAATTAACATAAATGACTTACAAATGTATCAAAATATGCCAAAATACTAATATATAATGAATTCTGTGAAAAATTAAATGCATTTTTATATATTTTTTCAAAAAGTCCTGCGGCGATAAGCAACAGGCGACGAGGGCAGGCATAGGTTGATGCTGGCAGTCCTTAGTCCGAAGCCTGCACAGGGGGCTGCATAAGAAAGATGGCCGTTTCGTTGTGCCCCTGGGACTACCCATCGTCTCGTGTCCTACTTGCGCAACCAGTGTGACCCTATTTAGCTACGGTAATTGGCTAACTAATTAACCATAGAAATTAAAAACAGGAAAGACTTAAGGCGAAAAAGAGCTATCTCGAAAGATAGACTGATCGACGTCAAAAGGAAGATTTGATTTTATTTACGAAAAAGATACTTTTCACAAAAGACAGTAAACCCGTGGGAAAAGCCATGTGTGGGGTCTTGTCAAATTGATTAATATCATAATTAATGTGAGGGAATGTGAGAGAATGCCTTGCCAAGGGAAACAGAATTTAGAAAGAAAAACAAAGCATTGAAGATTTCGGCCAAACCACAAGCCAGTCATAAAAATTTCGGCTTGAGACGATCGCAGATACAGGACAGGGAGAATCAATGTTAATTATCTTTCCAAGATATCGTTTATTTTTTTCTTGGGTACAGGCAAAGAGAAGCAATGTGGCAATTATAAAATTTTGGCATTGTCTCGACATAGGTGAGGAGTTCATTATTATTTACTTTATCAACGTGTCGATTCAGACGCGGAGACGTTGAATGGCAATATGGTGTATGTAAACGTTTGGCATGAGACAGAAAATAGAGTGCAGAATTTGGCGAGATAAAAGAATTTAATTTCTTAACAAGTCAAAGATTCCATTATAAAGCTAACTTAACGAAAGGACCAGATGGCAAACTTTGACAGTGATTAATGTTGTTGATTAGAGGGCTGGCTAAGTGAATTTTGGGTGGCCAAGTGATATGATAGGAATTTGTGAATTTTGTAAACAAAAATTCTAGATTATAATTTTAAGGAGGCCGGCTTAGCCACACCGCACGACCAGATGTAATTGGTCGGGTGGTAGCATGGCTGATAGGCAGAGGTGAATGGATGAGAAAGGCGGAGAAGTTGTTAACGCCCACTGAAGGGATTAGTATGAGATATCAATGTGAGAGAGGAAGAGTCTAGGAGGATAGCTCTCCTCCAACCTTCCCTCACAGACGTCGGAGAACCCACCAAAATGGAAAGTGATTAATTTTCCAAAAATGGGAAGTATCAATTTGACAACAAAGATATTTCTTGTTGGGAATCAAGATTACTGAGAAACCCAGGCGGCGTCTGACCCCGCGACGGGTTTTGGTCGGTACCCATATAAACGAACGTCCCCAGGCCGAGAGACAGTTACAGAGTTTGCAGTTCAGTTCGGACAGTTGCAGTTGGAGTTAGAGTCAGAGCTAACCAGAGTGTTGCCTCGCAGAAGCTAACCGAGAGATTCCACGACCTGCGACTTCGGCTATCCTACCAATAGCAAGTTATACTGACGATCGAAGCCAAGCCAACAGCTAAGAACTAAATTAGTTGACTTACTGTTGTGGTAGGATCCACCTAATTTGCATAGTGGAGTACCGACCATATAAATATGGTTGGCACCGGGAAGAGAGGGAGGAATCAAGAAATTCAACCAGAGACTCTGCCCGACTGCGACTCAGTTAACACATTCTCCAGGAACGTTCTTACCAGGAATATACAAAAGACTATATGTAAATATTGTGTACACTTTCTTGTTTCAATACATTTTGTTCTAAGTACATTTTGTGTTGCATTATTATTCCATGCATTAGTCAAGTTTCAACACTTACAATACCAACTTGCTTGAAAATTAGAAATGTCACATTTTGTAGGAGACGGTTTGAGAGAAAAACACTCCTGTATATAACAAGGATAAAGTTAAATTGTTATTTCTTAACATACTTGAACCTCTTGGATTTTTCTTTTATTTATTTTTTTCCTTTGCGCTTGTGCGATATCACCTTCAAGCTGGACTCAGCTTACACTACGGCCCGACGCCTGATTGATCTCGTCTACCTAAGATCAAAGTCACAACGTGGGTAAGTTAGACTTGAGATCGAAGCAGTTACTTCGGTAACCAGACGTTGGGAGTGAGTTGGGAACGACGGAACTGGTGTCGAACCGGTACAGCTGGTGAAGCCGTTAACATCGACGACCAGAATTCAACCCTGGACGGGCCAGTGTCCCATATTGGTATCCTAACCAGGGGATCTCGCCGAGTAGCGACGACCACCGATCGACCCGGACACAGGCTGGTGGCAGCGACAAAGAGTCAACCCTAAAACGCCAGTAGAAGAAACATTACAGTTTCGCGCTACGACTGGGAGTTGACCACGGGCCAACGGCTGGGTGTCACACCAGGCCTAAAAGATTCTGATTCCAACTGGTTGGTAGTCCTTTATCGCGGTCGACGAAGAAAATTGAAATGTTTTTTTCTTGTTAGCTGGATATACGAACCCTACTGGACTGTCCCGATCATATTAGACCACACCGAAGAACTGCGCTGATCGCATCTGAACTCAAGCGCTACAATGTACATATCGCTGCACTCAGCGAAACAAGATTCACCGATGAAGGTATAACTGAGGAAGGCGAGGGATATACATACTTCTGGAGAGGTCTTCCCATCAGAAAAAGTCGAGTCCATGGTGTTGGACTCGCTGTTCACTCAACGCTTCTAAGGAACTTCCCTTCTGTTCTGACTGGGCGCAGCGAAAGCCTAATGACCCTCAGAATTCCTCTCTCCAATAATGTCTACGCAACCACTTTCAGTGTGTATGCCCCGATCCTGGATGCCGACGAAGAGATAAAAGATGCCTTCTACGAATCTCTTGATACAGTCCTGCGAGCGGTAGCTCAAAATCATCCTCCTTGGAGATTTTAATACTCGAGTGGGCTCCAATACGCCAGTTTGGACGAGAGTCATTGGCTTGCACGTTATTGGGAAAATGAATGTTAACGGACTCCGTCTTCTAATTTTTTGTGCCGAGCATCAACTTGTGATTGCCAATACCATTTTTCAACACTCGAACAAGTACAAGGATGTTCTTGGATGCATCCGCGCTCTCGGACGTGTCACCTGTTGGATTACGCAATCGTCCGTCAACGCGATCGAAAAGATGTCCTTCAAATTGGCGCCATGCGTGGAGCGGACTGCTGGACTGATCATCGTATGATTCGCTCTCGTGTGAATCTCTCGCTTCGGTCTCCGGCTCACAAAACCAAATCTACCCCTACATTCAATGTTGCCTGTTTTGAACAAGCATCGAAACGAGTCGAACTTCAAGCGAATTTACTCAATGTCTGTCAAACACTCCCTGCACTTCCCACCGATGTTAATGATCAGTAGGAAATCAACAGTCTATGGGACTCCGCCATCCTAGCTATTCGGCAAGCCGCTGAAACTACGCTTTGAAAAACTCAGCGAAGGAGCCCAGATTGGGTCGATGAATCCGTGGAAGTTATCCAGTCATTTCTGAAGGCAAAGAATCAAGCACACGGCGCCCATCTTGCATATTCACGCTCTCGTACTGACGCCCAAAACTGGCACCACTTACGAGCAGAGGTACAACGGAAGCTTCGGGAAGCTCAAAACAATTGGTGGCTCCGCAAATCTGAGGTAATTCAATGTTTTGCTGACGAAAACAAAACTTACGAGTTTTATGATTCCATTAATCGTGTCTTCGGACCTTCTCGCAATGCCATAGCAACTGTTTGTTCCGCTGATGGCTCTACTCTGCCCAAGGAAAAAGAAGAAATTCTAACAGGATGGGCTGAACACTTCAAGGAACTTTTGAACAGACATGCCGATTGATTCTTCAGCTTTAAACGAAATTCCGAATCTCTCGGGCCTCCCTGAGCTGGACTCTGTTCCGACATCGGATGAAGTTAACAGCGCCATAAAATCCATAAGAAACAAGAAATCCTCCGGTGATGATGGTATTCCGGGAGAGGTGTACAAGTATGGTAGACCGCATCTTGCATCATATCTTCATTCCTTTTTTGACCTGTGCTGGACAAGCAGAATGATCCCTAAAGCGCTGGAAACATGCGAATATCATAAGCATTTACAAGAAGAAAAGTGATCGCTCCATCTGCGACAACAGCAGAGGCATTTCCCTCCTTGATGTGGCCTGGAAGATTCTTATTATGCTTCGCCGTCTTCTCATCTTTCTGACTAAGCGAATTCTGGCGGAATCTCAATGTGGCTTCAGACCTGAACGTAGTACCCTCGACATGATATACGTCGCTCGTCTACTACTCGAAAAAAGCAGGGAGCAGCAAAGAGAGATTAATTTTGCCTTTGCTGACCTAAATAAAGCCTTTGATACGGTCAATCGGGAGGCTTTATGGCTTTTGCTTGGCAAATTTGACTGTTCGCCGATCTTTCTGAGTCTTCTACACCAATTTCACGAAGATATGCTCGCTAAAGTATCTATCAGGGGACCCTCATCAGAACAGTTCAGTGTGCATACGGGAGTTAAACAAGGCTGTGTTCTTACTCCTGTGCTTTTTAACATCTATCTGGTTGCTGTGACTCTTCTTTCTCGGTTACATATGGAACCCAACGACGGAATATGTATCCGATATCGCTTTGACGGAAGCGTCTTCAATGCCCGACATCTCAAAGCTAAGACTCTGACCTCTACCATTCCTGTCTATGAACTGCAATATGCCGACAATGCTGCCATATTTTCTCATGAGGCACTCTCACTACAACAGTCCCTGCAGTTCATTGCATCGAGCTTATTCTTGCCTTGGTCTTGATATCAACCCAAACAAAACAGAGGTCATTCAAACAGCGTTTAAACGACGTGATCCAGCAGCTCAGTTGCACATTGACAACCTTTCGTTGTCTAATGTTAACTCATTCATCTACCTTGGCAGCGTCATATCCGATAATGGACACACTGATGAAGACATTCTCCGGTGGATAAATCTCGCCTCCAATTCCTTCGGACGCCTGCGCCTTCGGGTATTCTCTAATAGCAACCACCGACTCACCACCAAAGTCGCTGTCTATCGATCTGTAGTTGTTTCAACACTGCTCTACGGCTGTGAATGCTGGACAAACGCCGACAAATAAAACTGCTTAAGACATTCCACATCCGCTTCCTTCAGCGAATCTTGCGCGTTACTTGGAGGGATAAAATCTCCCACACCGAGTTTCTTCAACGTGCGGAGATCATCAACATCGAGAACATCATCAAACAACACCTTCTACGTAGGGTTGGACATGTTGTGCGGATATCGGACAGTCGCCTCCCAAAAATTGTATTCTTCGGAGAACTCGAAACCGGCAGCTGCCCACGTGGAGACCCAAAGAAACGATTTCGAGACTACCTTAGGCGTGTTCTTGTCTCCTGCAATATTGACCCAATACAAGAGAACCCCACAAGGGATCGGATCGGCTGGCAGTCTCTCTGCGTCACCGAAGTGGCGCATTTCGAGGAGAGACGGAGGAGCGCTCCGGGGAGGCGACGCCAGCGTCATCTGTAACCTGCCAATTCCGCACCGGGCATGTTTTCCCTGCCACCTGAACTTGTCGTTCGCAGATCGGGCTGCTATCTCATCAGAAGACGGACGGAGATGGCGGGGACAGCGTTGTCGTCAGCAATGACGAACAGCCTGAGAGAGAGAGAGAGAGAGAGAGAGGAGAGAAGAGATGTGAGTGTGTATTAGCTGCAGGTACATGTATATGAAAAATTAACATAAATAACTTACAAATGTACCAAAATATGCCAAAATACTAACAATTATAATGAATTGTGTAAAATATTAAATGCATTTTTATAAATTACTTATAATGTTGACTAAGTCTAGAGTGAATTTGATCATTTTAGAGGGTATCTTTGTCATTATATCAAAGTAGTAAAAGCAAGGAACACGTGGACATTTATGACCAATATAAAGAAATCTCCACCTTGATAAAATATAAGTTTTATATTTATACCTAATACTGAGAGAGGAACAGAGAGAGGTTGTTTTAATTTAATTTTAACTCCAAGTCATACCCAAGAAATGTATGTGTTATAACTTGTCCACAGGTGACCGAGAACTGTGTAAAGAAGTTATTCGTCTTCTTGAGCTACTCACATACCTACATACACAGCTATATTTCCATCTTTTACAAATTTAGAAACAAACGGAGGAAGCTAGTTGGACCATCATTCCTCTCCTGATAATTTGATCATTACTCCTGATGGTCGGACCATCATTCCTACCGATAGATGGATCATCATTCCTCCTGGTGTTTGGACTATCATTCTTCCAGGTTTTCAAATCAAAAAGTAATTTATCATAATTTAATTCATCCACCATTATGCAGAAAACTCATCAGTGCATATTATCATAATATTCATCTTTCTCATAATTTGTTTTACCATCAAATTTCTCGTCCTGGGTATGTCGATAAACTACATCCGACAGCAAGGCCAATGATCAGAAGGTTTTGAGGAGGATGGAATCGCCTCTTAATTGCTGTTGTTCCCAGGCCGGGGTGGTAACACCTATTAGGGTCCTAGCTATGGTCAAATAGTTAACCCCAAAACTGGGATCAAAATACTATGACAGTGTAAAAATAGGTTTTAATACCAGACTTTGTAAAAAAAAATTGTTACCAGAAATACATTTTTGGAAAAAAAATATATTACCAGCAATAAAAATTGTCAGCATTAAATAACCCATTGAGGTTGATATGCCGTAAAACAAACCAAACCATCAAATTTCAATCACTTGTTTATAAGAATAGATATTATCAAAGTTCCGTTTAATCCAATGCCGACAAAGGGAACAAATGGAGGTTTGAAAGATTATGTTGCATCAATTTTCCAAGTAGAGAGGATTTGTTTTGAAAATCAGCATTCAAACACTTGTCACTTTACCAGTAAGAAAACTTCTTCAACTACCTGGCAAGTCTGCTTTTCTATAAATAAGACTGTATTTTCTTAAACTGTCTGGCATGCATAATACACCACAGTAGCTACAGTGCCTACTATATAGCAATGGTCAGTAAGCTAAACTTGCAGTAACCTTAAACAAGCAGAATACTGGAGGTGATGAAAAATAAAGAAATGTAGATTCCAGAATTAACAATAACAAATCATTATTTATTTACTAATTAAAATCAACTTGAATGGATTATAATTTAATCTTAATTATGAAGTACAGGATATGAGGTAACCATATGATGTGTAGATACAACAAATCTGTAGATGTACTCTAAAGTCAGGAAATAACTAAGGAATATCTGTATTACCATTTCAGCTGAATTGTTGGTTTTACTCTCATGAGCATTTGTATTTAATGATTCCAGAGTAACTCTTTAAATGAGGTCAGAAACTGAGTTTAAAAACAAAGTATCCTGATTGATTAGAAAATATATTTTCCACAAAATTCTGGTTGTCCCTCAAGATTCAGTCAGTTGAATAAAAGTGAATTTTTATAAAAATTATAGGTTATCTCTCCTTGTATCATAACCTCCAGCCCCGATAGGGAAGATGTGTCTATTGATATGATAATAATGAGTAAGACTCAAATTTAGGCACCAAGTGGATTTTAGGCACTAACGGTGAGAGGCTTGAAGACCACTGGGGTGAAAGGACGCATTTTAGCCTACTCCATAAACAGGCAATGCTGGCCACAAGCAAACGAATAATACATCGACAAGCAGCCATCGGAAGAAGAGATATGATCAATTTCAGATAAGTGTTTCAATCAATTTCAAACAGATACATGTATTTGGACTTCATCCCCGATACCATGACATTAACTGCTAAAGGAATAACTTTAGCAATTCTCTCTTCTCTTTCTCGTTGTTTAATGTATTACTTATATAAAAGAATGCTTTTTAAACTGTTCAGTTGTCTCATCCTTTGTTGTTCGGTTACGGCTCATATGGAGAGTCACTAATTTTCCCATATTTTTTATTTATTGTTTGAAAGCTGAGAAGTAAACATAACTGCTACAGTTTAATCACCACAAAAGATAAGTAAACACCGTAGTAGAAATAGAGGTTGACTCTAACTTTTGTTAAGGACAAATATAGAAATAGATAGGATTTTGGTATCTGACATTAAAATTTGGGGGGAGAACAACACACTAGATATTGTCAATTCTCCAAACATAGAAGTAAAGATAATTTATCTTTGTTTTCATTGTAAACTGTCCCTTTTGGGTAGAATAAAGAGAGAAAGTACTAACAACGTTTAATTTTCATAATTTATCTTTGATCTTTTATGGAACAAATTGACCACTGTAATAAATTCTCACAGAGTGCCTTATAGTTTTGACACTATAACCTAAGAAAAGTTTTATAAATATCTACTCAACATTCATAGCAGGTCAGCAGGTTATCCTCACAAATCATTGTAAATCTAGTGAATTTAATCCTAACTGTATAACCTACTATTGTTGCTATGGGCAATGCAATAGATATAAACTCTGGCCTTTTGTTGTGTGTCTCCACTTAAGGTAATTAATATTTCACTTTCATTATTTCAATACACGAAACTTGCATCCTAATAGTAGATTTGAATTGCAATTACCTTGTCAAATGTTGCGTAGATACTTTAGATGAAATAGTTTATATAAAAATGATCAATAATCACACAAAATCCTTTGTAACAATGTACATCTTGACAGCAATAGTACTTTAGCTACTACTAATTTTTGCTTGAACATTTTGCTCATTGATGAACTTATAAAGATGTATCTTAAGTTAGTACATACATCTCACAGCAAAACTTACCAGAGTGCCATGGACGTTTTGGATGGAATTTTTGTGAAGAGACGAAACAATCCTTGCCCAGCATGTATTAGCAACTACCTGCCAATCCCCTGAAGAGGGGTTAGAACAGAGTATCTTCAGCACTTAAAAATCTTAAGTTGAGTATGCGGCTTTCAAGTGACAACAACAACAACAGCAGATGAGGCAAAGGATGGATTTATCAGAGACTCCTTTAAAAATGGATTAGAATTGAACTATATCCATCAAAGATTGCTGGAAAATAAACAACTAGATTTAGCGACTGCTCGCGAACATGCACTTATCTTGGAGATTGCAGAAAAGCAATCTTGTTTATACCTCCAAACAAGTGTTACAGAGGCTTCACTAAGTATTCAGACTCCTACTAGTCCACCAGTTCAAACGGCCCAAACAGGAAAAAAAATCAGCCCTCTCCGACAGACTTCCACATCCTTGCCCCCACCCCTCCGCTAGTTCAAAATCTTCTCTCCCCGGAAGATATTGCATACACTGCTAGTGCTGCAGCCAGACGAAAATGTTATTTTTTTGGACTCAAACTACACCTCAGGTCGTGTTACGCAGCCAGGGAAACTAAATGCCACAAGTGCGGGAAGAAGGAACATATCTCTAAAGTTTGTTGAACAAGTTTTTTTTCACATGGTTAGAATGCTCCTATTGCGACTAGTATCGTATCAACTGCAAACCCTAAATGTCTTTTAAGGGCTATATTAACATTAAAAATAAACGGGGCAAAAATGAATGCTCTAATGGACACAGGAAGCTCAGAGAGTTTTATTAGCGCTGATATTGCAAGAAGAAATAGATTTAAAATAGTACATTGTAATAGTTAAGTGGCTATGGCGAACGCTTCTATCTTCGCAGGGTAGAGTATATATTTTGGCCGACTTGAATCAAAGTTGAATCAAACTGACTACACTAACCAATTTTTTCGTGATGCCAATCTGTGCTGCGATGTCATACTAGGCCATGATTTCCTCAAACAGCATTCTCCTATTAATCTCCCTTTTGGGAACCCTAAACCGGCGTTGAACATCTGTGGCTTGGCCGCTATAAATGTACAATACCGCTCTCTTTTCGAAGACTTCACCAAAAACTGTAAATCTCGAAAATATTCTCTTGAAGACAAAATGTTTATTCAAGCAGAAATAACTAGAATGTTAAGAGAAGGAATAATCAAAGAAAGCAGATCACCATGGAGAGGACAAGTAGTAATAACGTTCTCTGATAATAAAAAAAAGGACGGTCATAGACTACTCCCAAACTATGCCCCGTATATTTGACCTAAGGAGTGCTTACCACTAGTAGCTATAGACCCTAAAGATAAGCCTTATACGGCGTTTGAAGTCTGCGGATGACTTTATCAGTTCCGACTGATTCCGTTTGGGGCTACTAATGGTGTTTCCATTTTTCAGAGGGTCCTCGATAAAATAATTTTTGAAGAAAACTACAAGGCACCTTTGCCTACATAGTTAATGTGACAGTGCGCGACCATGACTGGTCCGGCCACAATCGCAACCTAAAACGGCTTTTGCCGGCTGTCAAGAAATATAATCTTGACATGACAAGAATTCTTATGGGTAGGCAACCATCAGACTACTTGGATATATTGTGGGTAAAGGAAACATGAAGCCGGACCCTGAACAGCTAATACCACTTCTAAAACAACGTACTGACAATACCATAGCCGCTTTGCAACGAGCCATGGGTATGTTCGCTCATTATTCTCAATGGATACCCTCCTCTTCTGAAAAATTACACTCACTAACGAAAATTACCAAATTTCCTTTACCTTCTTCTATCGTTAAAGCCTTTGAGTGGTTAAAAAGACATATTACCAACTCAACCAACATTTC